ATGGCCTTTCCAGAATTTTTGGAGGATCTGGATTGTCTTGAGGTGTTGGGCCTTCCTGAGGAATGCGCAATTCCTGATGCTTTCAAAGACTTCCTTGGAGATCAGGATATAGAACTAGAGATGGAGGTGGCGGAGCTTTGTGACAAGTGCAGGGTGAGTAACAAATATGCAACCGACAATTTGTGACAATTGGCCACTAGCTTGCAGCTTGAATTGCCGAAAGTACACTCTCCTTGTGGCATGATCTGTGTGGTAATGAACACTGCTATGTGTCGCAGGTTGACTACATTCCTCTTCACTGGGGTGCACAGAATGGCATGGACGAGATGGTCAAGTTTCAATTGTGTGAAACAGATGTGGATTTCAAGGGCTCGGTAGGTCGTAGGAGTCCCACGTTTGCACGATGATCACTTTTGGCACCTAGTTTGCACGGAATGTTGTCTTGCAGGCTATTGGACCCAGTTATGGCAATGCCACAAACGACTGCATGCAATCGTCCTGTATTTGATCCAACACAAGGATGGTAATGTGGCTGTTACTGTGCCCGATGCACTTGCAATAATGCTTTTGCATCAATGTCCTCTCCTATGACATGAAGGAAAATGCCGTAGTCCAGGGCACATCGTGTCAAAACCAGAAATGAGCTTGTGAATGTCTTGCCGACTGCAAAAACCCCAGACTGTGGCTGTGAAGCGATGGGCATCCCGATTACACAGCAGCTCGAATCCAGGCAATGAGGACCTTAGGAGCAAGTGCTTGGGACAATGGGCAGAAGCGGCAACAGAGCTGTCATTCTTCAAGAATTCTTACACGTTAAAGCAAGGAGGTATCCATCGGCTCCCTACACCACCCAAAGTACTAGTGTGCATGGTTTAATCATGAGAACCCAAGATATTTCTGCAAGCCAAACGACCACCGAGTTTCTATCCAATAGGACTCAGAAATTTGTGAATTCCCTGGCTACCCCACAGCGTCAAAGTAATTTGGACGGCCCTCAACCCAGAGAGTAATGTAGGTCTCAAGGGCACCAGGGCTTAGAATGCACACAGGGGACACTGCCTTCAGTGTATGCCAGAAGTTTGTGCAGGCTGTGAGCCTTGGCTGCTGTGAGAGAGCAGCGGTCATCATGTGCTACAGAAGCGAGGCTGTGCTTGTTGAAGAGACGATCCAAGTCCAACCCTGACCCAAGAAGGATTGCTCTTGATGGCCCCTGGTGGCTTATCCACATTCTGCCCATCTGTCATTCCCAATGTCTCGTGGCAGCCCTGGCAGATACCAGTTTGGGCAGCTCTGCGGGAGAGTGGTCATCGTTGCAAAAAGTGCACATTCGCTGGCTTTGCCTGTGCCTGCTTACCTGGGGAATCCAATGCCCTCCATTGCCCACATGTTTTGCCTGTACATCCAGGACTGGTTGTTCTACCCAGGCACTGATCAGTCAGCCGGTTCATTTGCCAATCACGTGCGTTTGAGGCAGACCAGTGCAAGCGGTGTCCTGCTCCCAGGCATTGGTTGAACTTGGCTGATGATGGCCACAATGCAACATAGCGGGTTAGGTGTAGTCTAGGATGGGTGCTTGTGGCTGGGTCCATCTCAAGTGTGGCATTCACGCAGATCAGGGCAAAACGATGCCAGATCAACGCTGGCAAGAATCTTTCACCAACCACAGCTACCAGCTACAGTAGGGGTCCCTATATAGCGCCCCCCCAATAGCACCCCCGGCCCCCAATAGTGCCCCCTTTTTTGGCTTGTCATCATTTATGTAGTACTTTATGCAACTTTGTTGTGCAGTGGGACCTCAAACTAGTATAGGGGTCCAGTTTAGCGACCCCTATTTATCGACCTGTCTAAGTTTAGTGACCCCCTTTACAGCTCGTCACCATTCCCATAGTGCTTTGTTTCACTGCGGCAGGCCCCAGCGCCTGCGACTTTGGCGCCGCGACAGTCACGGGCCCCAAAAGCCGGTATGGACCCAGTAGGCTGGGTGGAGCATAGCCCCCACACTGGCCGTCAAGGTACCCCATACACTGGGAGCTAGGGTACCCCCGGCCAGAGTACACCCTATACTAGCAGCCAGGGTACCGCCTACAATGGTGGCTATGATACCCCCTACGTTGGCGGCCATGATACCCCCTACACCAGCAGTTTAGGGCACTCCCTACACTGGTGGCTAGGGTACCCTTTACACCAGTTGCTTAGGGTATCCCCTTGACACAATAGGGCACCCAGCCCCCAATAGCGCCCCCTTTTGGCCATGTCACCAGGGGGGGAGGGCGCTATATAGGGACTCCTACTGTACAAGTTTATTGACTTTTGTAACATGGCTATGGCTAACCAGGCAAAGTGTTAACAACAACAGCACAAGCAAGGGAAGAATCGGGGAAGTCTAGTGGCATGTTTGATGACATTGTTGCCCTGCTAGATTGGAAACGATTGGAAACACAGCAAATGCACAGCATGGGACAGTTTGTAAGGCATTGGCGTGCAAATGGGTACTGCCAGTGACATATTCACCCAAACTTTGGTCAACAAAAAATATGTATGTCCAGTATCCATGGGCGTCAATGAGGGGCCTGTGATGCACAGCCCGCATGTATGCCGTTGAAGTTGGTCACGCTAGCACTGTTGGTCTGCTATAAGAGCCGAATGTACTAGGCTATGGCAGATGTTGTTGCCTACCTGTTTCTTTAACGGCGCTCCCAAATGTGCAAGTATGGCCAGAATCCGATAACGAAGTCCAATTCTTTATTTGGACCTGCACTCCAAGAGGCATGACAGGACGGCCTTCATGGCAGCAGCTGGCAGCGGTCACACCAGCACTGTTGACCTGCTATTGAAACACAATGCATGGGTAAACCAGGTCGACGTGGTGAGTTGGCATTGCCTACCCATTCCTTCAACAGCACTCCCCAATGTGCTTCTGTGCAAGTTTGGTGCAGAATCCGATAATGAATTTTCAGTTCTTTTTTTGGACCTGCACTCCAAGAGGCAAATTGTCGCTGTAAAGAATACACCTGTAATTAACCCCAAAACGCTGGTTGTGTGTGTGAGTGTATGTGGCATTGGCGTATATATCAAATTTTGCTGCTGGACCCACGCTGGTGATCGTCAGGCAGTTCGTATGTTCAGTCCTGAGGCGTGCGCGTTGTGCCTGTGATGCGCAGCGTGACAGGACGGCCCTCATGGCGGCAGCTGGCAGCGGTCACACCAGCACTGTTGACCTGCTATTGAAACACAATGCATGGGTAAACCAGGTCGACGTGGTGAGTTGGCATTGCCTACCCATTCCTTCAACAGCACTCCCCAATATGCTTCTGTGCAAGTTTGGTGCAGAATCTGATACTGAATTCCAATTCTTTTTTTGGACCTGCACTCCAAGAGGCAAATTTTCGCTTTAAAGAATATGCTTGTAATTATCCCCCAAACACTGGCTGTGTGTGTGAGCGTATGTGGCATTGGCATATGGATCACTTTTTGCTTTTTGCCATGCTGGTGATCGTCAGGCAGTTCGTATGTTCAGCCCTGAGGCGTGCGCATTGTGCCTGTGATGCGCAGCATGGCAATACGGCCCTCATGGCAGCAGCTGAGGGCGGTCACACTAGCACCGTTGAGCTGCTATTGAAACACAATGCGTGGGTAAACCTGGTCGACGTGGTGAGCTGGCATTGCCTACCCATTTCTTCAATGGCATTTCCCAATATGCTTCTGTGCAAGTTTGGTGCAGAATCTGATACTGAATTCCAATTCTTTTTTTGGACCTGCACTCCAAGAGGCAAATTTTCGCTTTAAAGAATATGCTTGTAATTATCCCCCAAACACTGGCTGTGTGTGTGAGCGTATGTGGCATTGGCATGTGGATCACGTTTTGTTGCAGGACCCATGCTGATGATCATCAGTAAGTTCATGTGTTCAGTGTCCTGAGGTCTGTGCGTTGTGCCTGTGATTCGCAGATTTTCACTACGGCCCTCATGGCAGCAGCTGGCGGCGGCCACACCAGCACCGTTGACCTGCTATTGAAACACAATGCGATAGTAGACATGTGTGACGAGGTGAGATGGGATTGCCTACCCATTTCTTCAATGGCATTTCCCAGTATGCTTCTGTGCAAGTTTGGTGCGGAATCCGATAATGAATTCCAATTCTTTATTTGGACCTGCACTCCAAGAGGCAAATTTTCGCTTTAAAGAATATGCTTGTAATTATCCCCCAAACATTGGCTGTGTGTGCGAGCGTATGTGGCATTGGCATGTGGATCACGTTTTGCTGCAGGACCCACGCTGGTGATTGTCAGGCAGTTTGTATGTTCAGCGTACTGAGGCGTGCACGCGGTGCCTGTGATGCACAGTGTGGCGGGACAGCCCTCATGTATGCAGCTCACCGTGATGACACCAGCATCGTTGAGCTGCTATTGAAACACAATGCGTCGGTAGACCAGCTTGACGAGGTGAGATGGCATTGCCTACCCATTTCTTCAATGGCACTTCCCAATATGCTTCTGTGCAAGTTTGGTGCAGAATCCGATAACGAATTCCAATTCGTTATTTGGACCCACACTCCAAGGGGCAAATTGTCGCTTTAAAGACTGTGCCTGCAATTATCCCCGAAATGTTGGTTGTGTGTGTGAGGGTACGTGGCATTGGCATGTGGATCACGTTTTGCTGCAGGACTCATGCTGGTGATCGTCAGGCAGTTCGTATGCTCAGTGTACTGAGGCGTGCACGTGGTGCCTGTGGTGCGCAGGACGGCGGGACGGCCCTCATGGGCGCAGCTTGTGGCGGTCACACCAGCACCGTTGACCTGCTTTTGAAACACAATGCGTCGGTAAACCAGGCTGACCAGGTAAGATGGCATTGCCTACCCGTTTCTTCAACGGCACTCCCGAATGTGCTTCTGTGCAAGTTTGGTGCGGAATCCGACAATGAAGTCCAATTCTTTATTTGGACCCGCACCCCAAGAGGCACATTGTCGCTTTTTGTAAGGAATATTCCTGCAATCGTCCCCAAAACGTTGGCTGTGTGTGTGAGCGTATGTGGCATTGGCACGTGGGTCACGTCTCGCTGCAGGACCCACGCTGATGATCTCCATGCAGTTGGTATGTTGAGTTTCCTGAGGCGTGCACGTGGTGCCTGTGGTGCGCAGGACGGCTGGACGGCCCTCATGCGGGCAGCTGAAGGCGGTCACACCAGCACCGCGGACCTGCTTTTGAAACACAACGCGTCGGTAAACCATGCTAGCAAGGTGAGATGGCATTGGCTACCCGTTTCTTCAACGGCACTCCCGAATGTGCTTCTGTGCAAGTTTGTTGCGGAATCCGAGAATGAAGTCTGATTCTTTATTTGGACCCGCACCCCAAGAGGGACACGGCCGCTTTTTTAGGGAATATTCCTGCAATTGTCCCCGAAACGTTGGCTGTGTGTGTGAGCGTATGTGGCATTGGCACGTGGATCACGTCTTGCTGCGGGACCCACTCTGATGATCTTCATGCAGTTCGTATGTTGAGTTTCCTGAGGTGTGCACGTGGTGCCTGTTGTGCGCAGTACGGCTGGACGGCCCTCATGCGGGCAGCTGCTGGTGGTCACACCAGCACCGCTGACCTGCTGTTGGAATACAATGTGTTGGTAGAACTGGCTTTGATTACTTTTTGTTGCGTTGGTTTCGGTGTTCTTTTCCTTGGTTCTCAACATCCACACACTCAGCACACACGAGCATTGAATCCGCAATGTTTCTCTATTTTTGGGGGGTCCTCCCTGTTGCTGTGACTTCCGCTTTCGCCCTGGGACTTGTTGCGACAATTTTGTTCCAATGCTGTGCAGGATGGCCTCACTCCCCTTATGATGGCTGCAAAGCGTGGCCACATGGCGGCTGCTGAGTTGCTGCTTAGCCACGGAGCAATCTTGGTCTCTACTGACAAGGTGACGTGGCTGATGTCGCCCTTGTAATGCGCAATGTACCTGCTCAAGAGTGGTGGATGCAGTCCGTACGAGCACACCTCTTGTTTCACGTTTGCTGTGCAAATCCAATGCACATCTATTTCTTCCAGGAATTTCCTGCGTTGCTTGCGTTTGGCAAGTTGTCTGGTCAGCATTACGTACCTGGCGCTTTGTGTTTGGTATGGTTGCCAATTTCATTGCGCGAGCGGGTTTTCAAATTTTCACACTTTGCATTGGGCATCCTAGCCAGGCGGAGCTGTGCCCCCCAGCTCCCTTGTGCACGCTACCTAGGTAGTAAAGGTCGTCCTCATCAAGTTGATTGTCAATGCTGACGCTCGACATCTCATTGCCAGTCGCCCACCCCGCTGAGCGAGGCTCCACTGTTTTGTTCTACTCAGGATGGGATGACTGCAGCAGAGCTTGCGAGAGCTGCAGGGCACCACCAGCTGGCCGCGAAACTGTTCGATGCTGGCTGACGCCAATGGCCATTACGTTGGCCTCCAAGTGTTTTCCTTGTGCTCACGAGGCGAATGGTAGCTCTTGTAACGCAAGAACAATAGTTCCTCTCGAATTGATGCAAAGAATGAGTCCAAGGGTCTTAGGTGGTCACCCGGTGCGCTTGGATACTGATCTCTCAGCTGCGGGTCCCCATCTCCTGGCCCTTTGTCTGGCGTGAACACCCTGGAATGAGAGGTGCATGGTGTGGGTGTGTGGGCGGCTTCTTGGGGCACAGGTGGTGGTGGATGGGGTGTGGAAATGGGGACCGGGGAGAGAATTGCATGACAGAGTGATGGAGGCACGTCATGACCGTGAAGATTACAAAATAATGTAAATTGACGTCGTGTTGCTTGCACTTGCGCCGTCAGCGGCGTTGGTCCATTCTTATGGTCCTGTGGTGATTGCGCTTGAGATACGCTGATGTGTGCACGTGTCTCCCTTGCATCGGCAGCTACGTAGCTGCCGATGCATGAGATGATGGACGTGATATGCATGATGTGACATGATATACGATGCTCAAGCTCTTGAGCCAATGGCTGCTGGTGCGCGGTTTTATGTTCGTTAGCGGGGGTGAAACGCTGCAAGAATGTCAAGACCGGAGTGCCGCAGTCCCCAAAACGCGAAATATATATTTTGCATTGGTTGCATTCCCACCAAGACTGCCCATTTTATCGGTTCATGCACCCAAGGTAAGGGCACGGTGGCCCGACGCTTGACGTAGCTATAAACACAGAAGTTAGTTCATCATTCAAAATGTTTTGAAATATTTCCGTAAAACAAAGAATCAAGTAGAGTAATGCGCCTCTATGATGGTTCGTGCAATATTACAAGTGTAGTTCAACGAAGCCTTTATTCAAATTTGATGATACATTACGTTGAAAATTCCATTAGTGTAATTATGCACTAATTATCGAGTCAGCCTCTGCGCTTGTTCTCCTGTGATGCGCTCAAGGATGTCCTCCGTTGTGGCGGATGTGGCAGCAATGGTGATGGCGACCATCACGCTGCCCATGCCGCCTTTATGCTGCGCCGCCACGCACAGGCAATAAGTACAACGGGCGCAAAAATCGTGTCGGTCATGACATCTAGAAAGAGACTGAGGCGCACATTGATCTTTGTGAGTCGATATGGGATGCTCAAGTAGGCGAACCTCCAACGCTTGGAAAGGTAAGTATGGCCACCGGGGCCACCGGGGCAGCTGTGGTGGATATGGCGCCGACGGCAAGCAGGGCTGCCGTTAGAGCCACAACATGCACTGGCGAGCGTGACAGCCAGCAAAGATGCGAAACCACCGAGACAGTCTCCTCCTCCACGAGACAGGGGAGGTGTGGGAGCCACACCCACAGAGCCGGGGGTGTGATGGGAGCGCTGCCCCACAACGAGTGTCTGCAAGTGCGGCAGTGCCGGGGCGGCCTTAGGTGCCGCAGTGTTAGGGCCGTGTTAGGTGCTGCAGAAGCACCTACAACAGGCTGAGCCATTAGAAGCAGGGCTGCACCAACCGCCCATCTTTGACAAGATAAGCTGTGAATGCTCGCCACAGCGTTCAGAAGCGAAAGTGGTCGTAAGGCCTGTGCATACCGGCAGGGGGAGCTTGGCGTTGCGGAGTAGGTACCGCGATATTGCCTGTGATGTTGCAAAATCTTTTTGTATCACTGAAGCACAGACGACGGGAACCTCAAACGGCGGTGTTAAAGAAAGGATGATTAGTGTATTGTTCGTTCAACTCCATTCAAAATGTCGTCAATTTCACTTTAGATCAAGCCTGACATCGCGAGCACAAAATCAAGCACACCAAAGCTCTTGAACGGTTGGAACTGTTCCGGAGTACTTGGTCCTCATTCGGTTATGTGGACTCTTTCCTCTTTTCACTATGGCATTTCTCGATGGCTTACCCGTCAAGGAGTTGTGGCATTTTGTTGCACACCTGAAGTGTGGGTTCAGCAGAATATCATGTGGCGTACAGGACGTTGCACGTCTCCAACCCACAGCTTCCCTGTTCAAAAAACCATCTTAACTCGCTGCAGCACTCACGTGATCGTTTCTTCCCACTGCCAGGGCCACTTAAATAGGAAATCTGCCTCCTACTTCGATCAAAGCATAATTGTAATTCTGGAATATGCATTGATGCACAATGGGATTCCAAATGTCATGACAAACGACGCGTATATGTGTGCGCACGACTTGACAATTTGCATCTGGGGACAGCCCAAAACGTCCAACCTTATGGCGCTGCTTCCATGCTGTTCAGGGAATCGCAGTACTGCAAAAGGTTGGGTGGTGCCATAGCAACAATCGAAGCAAGTGGCAAATTCAGAAGGCGCTTAACCAGATTGGGTGGACCGCGATTGTAACATGCAGGGGCCTCCAAGTACTGTGCAATTTAAAAGTTTGCTGGAAAAAAATCGCGTATTTTGCGGTCGAGCCAGTCCGCAAAAATATTTCTCCGCGAAGATTTTTCGCCCGCGAATTTTCTGTCCCCCCTCCGGGGCGGGTCGAGCGCAGGGCTGTTTGGCCTCCTGGCTTTCTGCAGCGACGTGCCAAGCCCAGCGCCCCCCGCCAAGTGGCAAAGAAGCCCTAAGCTGGGCGAATCCCCACGGAGCCCAATGGCTTCCATGGTTGTTGGGTGCATTTCGAGGCCACAGGCACGGCGTGGCTTGCAAGAGCGAACGGTGACCGAATCTGTGCTGGCATCGAGTCCATCGAAAGCGCAGGGACCGCGCCCCGGCGGCAGCCCGCAGTGTGGTTCCAGAGGGTCCAACCCAGCGGAGGGATCTCCAAATTCTCCCCGATCGCCATCGTCGTCTCTGCACCCGCAAGGAACAAAACATCCCTCGCCGCCCACCCCCGCAGGGGACAAGGCTCGTGGGGTTTGTCTGGTGGACCAAGCCCAGCCGAGGGGCCTCCTAATTCTCCCCAGCCGCCATACCCAGTGCGTTCGGCAATGGGGTCCGGCATCGCGCCATTTGCCCTTTTCCTGCGGCCCTGCACTTCTCCGTGGGCGGGTCGATCTTTGCGGTGTCGTTGCGCTGACTGCGTGCAGAGGGCTGAGAGTGTGACATCGCGGCTCCATTGTCGCTAATGGCAAATCGCCTTATTGGCTCGGCCGACCCAACATGCGCAAATGATGACAGAAATTCATGCAAAGTCAAATTTATTGGTGATTTACTCACGCCGAACGCCGGCATAGGCCTTCCCAATCGCCCCTTACCAAAAACGAGGGAAGTTGCCATCACCCCAACTGTTTCTTCCTGCCTCATTGTTTAGCGCACAAAGCCCTCACATACTTATTGGTCTTAAAGCCAAAGTGAGCAGCAGAAGCCAGTACGTACTGGGTATACCCCAAAATCTGGCATCGTTGTTGCCATTACATTTTTCCACCGCAGGGGCCCGGACGCCCTGCCGTGCAGCATAGATCCAACGCGTTGCTCTGGAGAGAGGGGATTCTGCTTATCATCTATGCCCCTCAAACATCGTGTTCAGGGAATTGCATCCTGCCCAGACAGCGAGCCACACTTGGTCTGAGAATGTCAAGCTTTTTGAAGCATGGAATCACCCCATGGTAACGCAATGCAGTCACACCAGCTCAGCACGATCAGCAGTTCCCAGCAATTAGTGTCAAGGGACCTCCCATGCACGTACTCGCCATTGCCTCTATTGCAGCAAGTCTCTGAACCTGCGTCGGTGTGCTGCAAATGCAGTGCGCACTGCAAAATCCTCAAGTTTGATTATTGACTCAAATTGTGGCATTTGATGGGGCAACCAGTTTGACAATTTCTGTGTGTTCCACATCGGAGGATTTGTTTCATTTGGCTCCGTGCACAGCGCCAGTTTCCATTGATAACGTACCCGAATTATGCTCATCTATTCATAGTACCATAATCTGCTAAAGCGCGCACACATCCCAATGGAATGGCATGCTTTCGGAGCTTTGTCTCCATACAGACAAATCTTGTCCAACGGAACAAGCAGAAGCTAATTATAGCTCCATTGATAATGTGACACCCATATTCCTACGGAGAACTCGGCGTCATCATCAACATCACCATCATCACCATGAGTTTTTATATCACGTGTATAAAACAGCGATCAGGCACTGCTGTATTGAAAACTGCGCTGGTTTGGCCTCTTGCTTTGCATGCAATTGCAATGTGGGATCTGCAGAGACGCTCAGTGAATTTGAATTGAAGCGATTTGCGTCTGTTGATGCAGTGTACGAGGTGTGTGAATCCAGTAAACCTCATAAAATTGATGATTTTGACGGCGCTTCGAGAATGACAAACGGTACTTTTTGTATCGCGGTATTGACTGGAACTGCGGGATGCAGGGAAGATTTGTTCGTTCTGCTGCATTGTGCAGTTAAACGTTTCAGTGAATATAGTTTTGCTACGTACGCTCAAATGCTTATGCCGTTGTCTTTACGGGCAAACCGTCTTCCTGACTCAATTTAAACCTAGCGTTTTCTAAAAGTGTGATAGATTCATCCAGAGATAGAAAACAGTCTTGATTAAAGCGCCTTAACAACTGAAAAGATTTTCCATTCGCCTCTCATCAAAAATGATGGAAATCACTGAAACCCATTCCATATCATTCTTCATCATTTGTTCCGTTACTTGATCCCTGCTGTAGTTTTAATGCCCTCCAAGGACAGATGTCACATGAAATGTCCTCAGAGTCTGTGGCATAGGCACAGTGGAATCGCCTTCGCGACTGGTCCAATCCCATCATAATGCTCGAGATGGCTTGGAAGCAGACCAGAAGCAGCGCATGGCGCCGGCAAAAGGTATTGTTCTTCTCACTTTGCTTGCCGATCAGACATGGCGTTCAAAAGGGAATGACCTGTGGGGATAACGAATCATGCTACTTCGATTGACACCAAAATGTGGTCTGTTGTCATCCAGCATTGGACTCGCGTACCCATCGACGGGAATGACAGTCCAATCGCTCGACTTCATCAGTGTCACAGTGCGACGTGCCGTGT